ATTTAGCTTTTTGTCTGAATCAAACTTAAAATGTTTATTTGTGTCCGACACAATGTATTGACTGTAGTTTAATGCGTTTTCTTATGAGTCTGGGCTCACCAAGATTTTACAATTACTGGGAATGCGTTTTTATAATAAGCATTAAATAATGCCAAAATGGGGCGTTTTCAATGCCTCACTGCTCCTTAATGAGCATGGGCACCCCCCCCCCTTTTTATTTCAAAATTGAAGTTATCATATGACAAATATTCAGTCGACAAAGTTTGAACAAAAATCTATTGTCACTTTTATTTCAGAGGAATTACCTTAAGCTAAGACATTGTCCTCTCGCTTTGGTTCATTCGATTTCTTCAAACCTGCGTTTTCTTCAAACTTCCTTTTCCTAGAGGGTTCGAGCTAACGCAGTTCTACCATTAGATAGCCCTACCTGCTTGTATGTAGGAGTTGGAAGTAGTGTAAGTTGCTGCTTTCAGTTCAATTGTCGAAATAGTGCGGTTTTCAATTGTCGAAAGTAATCAGGCCATTACTTTGGTTTTGGGTTTGGTTTTCCTACGGTTTGAGATTGACTGAATAGTCTAATTGGTAAGTAATTGGTTTGGATTTGGTTTTACGACACTCAATTGAAAATCATTCTATCGCAGGTAGCTGTGTTGTAATGTTTTAGTCTACGTAGCTGTACTGTACTGTAAGTAGTGTAAGTAACCGTATTGGTAAATTTTCAGAGGAGAGTGAAAATTAATTTTTAAAACAAATGTACGAATCAGTTCCTTACAAAGAAAAACAGTAAACCGTTTAACTTACCATCATGCTCTTTTTGCACTTTGCTGATCTTTCTTTCTTTATTTTCCTCTCTTTTCTCTTCAGTTGGCGGCTCGTCTTGCATGCCAGTAGTATTCTCTGGTCCTGAAGAGGAACGTAGTCTTCTCCACTCCGGGTGGAACAAAAGGGGCGCTGCACAGTAGTGGATTAATCTGGACGTGCGCTTGAGTGTTTCGATTTTGTCTTCCTGTGAAGCATCAAAAATATCAAACATAAAAGCTGCATCTACCTTAAGTCTGCGGATGAAACCCCGGTGTGTGACCATTCGAATGAAAGCTATCGAGCAGTACTTTCATGTGGTACTGTTTATCATGCTGTACAAGGTGATTCTAACTTTTAAGTCTGTGGATGAAACCTTAGTGTATGACCATTCAAATGAAAGCTATTGAGCAGTAATTTCATGTGGTACTGTTTATTATGCTGTACAACTTTAAACATAAAACCCAAGAAAGGAGCTTCCAAATGAGAGTTATTCAGCTGTAGGTCGATCTGCCATTGTTCAAAACAACATCTAGGATCAACATCAACAACAACAACAACAACAACAACAACAACAACAACGCACAGGATACCAACATCTTGGTGATCCTGTGCGTTAAAGGATTGACTTCGCTGCCTCCTAACAGTATTAAAGAAAAATTCCGTCCACCAACTTACACTAATCTGCACATGGGGAGGCCTACGTTGCCACATCACGTAAAGTTCGTCCAAATTCTGGTCCAATATTGCTTCTACAAAGAAAATTTATACCAGTAGTAACAAAGTCAAAAGTATTTAATAAGTACAGATTGACTTAGACTTCATATAAAGTAGACCTCTTGCTTCGTCAGATCGAAAACAAAGAGAATGATTTTAGGTAAAAGAAGGGTTTAGTTGTTCGGAATATCGCACGTGACACTACAAACAGTTGAAGTTTGTTCATGACTTCATGTAACATCAAATGCAATGACCTGCAGTAACGTCACCTTGCATACACGTCTTCATGTGTTCATGTCTTGCATACATGTCTTCATAGAACAGTAAGCCATATTCCCGGTATTGGACTGGAACTAGCTTGCAACTGAGGCTGATGGGGGCGTCTTTTCAAATGCACGTGACATTAATATCTTTTAAATGATATTCCCCGCATGAGCCTCAATTGCAAGCTAGTTCCAGTCCAATACCGAGAATACGAATCTGACCTATTGAAATCACTCATGCAACCTTATGACTGAAAGCTATGAAATCACATAAAGTAAATACTGCCTTACTTTTTATCTGGAGGGAACGAATCTCCTGCAAAATAAAAGAAAGCAGAAGAATTAGTGAGAACAAAAAGAAAAGACTTGGTGCTCGAGGGAAATTATCCTACGGTCTAGGGCAAATATAAAATAATACACAGGAAAGGAAACAGAATTAGAAACAAAAGTAAGACCAAATAGCAAAGACACAAACAGCAAGATCACCTGAAACTGGTACCCATGCCTCTTGACGGGATCACGGTTATGAAAGTACTGAGTGCGGTAAAGAGGCTTGGGAGGTGTGACGTCACGGAGCACTTCATCAAATACCAGGATGTTCGGAGAGGGCGGCAATGGTCTCGGCATAGCACGCTCACGCTACGGAACAAAGATGTCAACTACCAAGTACTCAAGATAATGTTAACAGTCTAATATTCGAGTTTGGAGCTATAGAACACTTCTCCTTCGAGTTCTCTTTATCGCAGTTTATTACATAGAGGCTAAGAGGTATACGAACTAAACCTTGCTTGTATCCCTGTGGATTTTAACTATTTTAAAGGAGCTACGTCACGGTTTGGGCATCTCAAAAAGTCTAGCCTAATTTTTTTGTTCGTCGTTTGTAATCCGTGTTAATCTTCTCCATTCTAAACCACCCTTGTTTCTTTACGGTTTATTATTATTTCTTCGTTGTTTTCCCATCTTAGTAAACAATTATTTTGAGGTTTCCTTCAATTTAAAGGTAATTTTGAACGTGTCCAAACTAACCGAAAATGTTGTGACTGAGCTCCTTTAACAACGTTCGTTGTGAGATCCTTTAGCCTACCCTACTGGAACCAAGTCTGACAGAGGACACACTCACCTACAGAAATCTGTCAACCGAAAAAAGACCGACCTCGCTACATCATGAAATATTTCACGGTATACGATGCAGAGATATCTACTTACATCCAGATTAGGTGGTCCGGGGTTGCTTATCAGCAGCACCATGTCTTTGTCATTGGCTGACAAACAGAAAGGATTCATTTCCTGCAAAGAGAAACAGAGTTCACTGTTAAACATTTCGTGAAAAAAATTAACCTTAAAAAAAGCAATTGTATATATACAGCCAAAGAAACAAGTTGTACAATAAAAGCACCAGTTACTATCACAAAACCCACAAAGCCCACAAAGCCGGAGCTTATTCAGAATTTTGCAGCATGGAACAACTAAGAGCAGTGATCCTCTCCCCCACCCCCTCTGCTGGTTGGTGTGATTCCCCCTGCCATGGTTGGTTGCTAGCCCAATGCAAAGTTCCCACCCCGACACTAGCATTGTTTTTCCGGTGGTACTAACAGTTTGCTGCAACTCATTTATGCTTTTAGAAGTAGCGAGACGCGCTGAAATGGCCCCGGTCAGGGCTAAAACCCAGACCTTTAGATCAGGGGAAAAATGGCCATTTCGGAGTTACCTTGTGCCTCCGTTTCAAAATGAATCTTCATGCAAAACCTTCCATATGAAAACGAATTTGATTTGCATGAAAATGAACCTGTAGGGAAAACACATTCATATATGCGAGGCAAAGAGCAACTAGGAAATGTCAAATAACATTCCACTTATTTTTACCTTTCCCTCCTTTCCTTTGTTAAGATCTGCAAACAGAGTGTGATGGAAAAGTCCCAGTTTCTGGCTCAGAAGACACGAGGTAAGGTGGCATCGTGCATTGCTCCAGTTAAGCAAACGGTGCAGCTGTTTTTCAAAGATAGTATTCAAATCTGACGCCCAGTTGTAAGTGAATGCTATCACCTGGAAGAGAAGACATACAGATAACGAATTAGCAAATCACAAATTACGAACAGGCCTCACTTAAAAGAAAGTTCAAGAACATCAAAAAGAATGGATAAAATGATTAGTTTCTAACGAAGCGGTTGTGCTTCATGTCAGGGGTAAAACACTAAGCTGATTATCAACTTGAGTTGATAAATATAAATTAATCGCTTTAGCCAAGGTGACAAAATTTTAACTCTGCAACTTGTTTCATTATCGCACCAAGATTGCTCTGACGTAGGGCTAGCCCTCGGAAATGTCACCTTTTTCCAGATTGGCCACTGCGGTTAATTTACCTTTATCAACTTCAAGTTGATACTACTCAACTAAGTACATTATAAGATGCGGCATGTTTTTTTTTTTTTGTTTTTTTTTCAGTGGCACTGCAAGATCAACGAATATGCTTTTGACTGTCGAGAAAATATTCTTTAAACACATAACCAACATAGCCCTAGTACAAATTACTGTTACAGTCATCCAAAAAGTAAAAAGTACTCTTTGGAAAGATCAAACTCACATCTTTATCCATGATGGTGATCAAGAGGAACTTTTGCCTTGGCACCCCACCAACAGAAAGGCTGGAAAGAGACGTATTATCAGGCAACACACGCCCAAGGGTAGGAGCATTTGGGTCCAGGGGCTTGAAACGCTGAAGAGCCGTACGAACTGAAATGAAGAAAACAACGATAGGATAAAGGATCAGGGTTCAACACAGACCGGCAGACTGGCAAACAGACAGACAGACAGACAGACAGGTAGGTAGGCAGGCAGGATGACAGACATATAGACAAACAAGCAGCCACACAGGCAGGCAGACAAATAGGCTAGTAGGTAAAAATTCAGACAGGTAGACAGGCAGGGAGGCAGGCAGGTTGACCAGATCAGAGAGACAATATTACTGTCTACGGGTAACAGTATCTATTTATGAAGTGACGACAACACGATTGTACACTAAATGGATATACGTTTTTAATTGACAGCTAATAAACAAGATACTTACTTCTAGGACGGCCATATGGGCCTTCATGGGGCAAATCTGCAAGCAACAACAGTCCAAAGGCAAAGAAAGTACTTAGATTACCACATCAATAGAAAGCACTTATATTATGAACCGTATAAAGCTAAGGATAAAATCTCTGACAACCGTCATAACGTTTTGTTGTAAACTTAACTTGTGAGCTGTTGGTGGTCCTTAGCTTTACTTCTTTTTCCGTTATGTGACACAAGTTAAGTCTCGTCGCCAAAGACATTGCGTGACAAAACAAATAACGAATGCATAGGGAATACATGAGACAGTATTTGAGACAGTTGTTACATTTTGTCTAGTTCATACCTTCTTCCAACCCCAGGCTCGCTCGCCACTGATCCACATTCCTACCGACCACAACAAAGAAGTTTGACGAGTTTGGAACACCTGTGAATGGCTTGCCGGATTTGTCTACAGACGATTCGTCACTGTCTTGTACCTGATGGTAAGATATAAACACATCGATAAATTGTCTGTATTGAGGGACAAACTTACGACCAACCGAGAGTCTGGGCGCCAACCAGCCAACCGACTGACTGACTGACTGACTGACTGACTGACTGACTGACTGACTGCCTGTCTGACCTACTGAGTGACTGAGTGACTGAGTGACTGAGTGACTGAGTGACTGAGTGACAGACTGGCAGAGTGACAGAGTGACAGAGTGACAGAGTGACAGAGTGACAGAGTGACAGAGTGACAGAGTGACAGAGTGACAGTGACTGAGTGACTGAGTGACTGAGTGACAGAGTGAATGAGAGAATGACTGACTGACTTACGGACAGATGGACTGACCATGACCAACTAACTGACTGTTTGACCGACTGACTGACTGATAAACTTTTTTACTGACTAACTGATTGACCCTTGACTGACCAACAGACCGACAGACTGACAGACTGACTGACTGACTGTATCTTTATGGCCCAAGCTTGGATCAGAACTCTCCTTACCTGCTCCCGCACATATCTTTTCGCGGGCAGTTCTGAGAATATGATGATACATCGAAACAACATCCCTTAGTCGATGATTTTCCTTATTCTTATTACCTGTCTTGTTAAAAATGTATTTACATTGTAAGGCGAAATATTATGTTGATCATTGAGTGACTCACCTTCAAAGGTTGTCGAGCAGGATAATAGTGCAGACAGTGTGATTCTTGTGTAGTATCACTCTCTTTGCCATCACTGGAATCCCTGTCATTCAAAGAGCAAATTTTATTTCATAACTTTATTAATTAAGACGCTCGTCAAGTTTGTTTACACGCCAATGATAATCGATAACAAGGTTCCTTTAATTTCCAGAATGATTAAGTACTTGAGAAACAGTTGGGTTATGTTGTGCTGACAAGGGAAAAGATTACCTTCATTATTAAAGTGAGAGTGGCCCATTCAGCTCAAAGGCTTAAAACTACATCACATAATTCTTTTAAGAAGATAAAAAGAAAACTTACCTATACAAATTACAATAGAAAGTTACAATAAAAGACGCTGCTAAAAGTTAAGAAAAGGAAAAAAAAAACGTTTTGTTCGGCGACAGAAAGTGTGAATGTTTTCGGTGTTACAGGGAGGTCATAAAAATTGAATTTTTCTGTTCTAATTTCAGGTATCTCTGAACGGGAAAGAACTAAACACAACCGACGAAAGGCGCCTGTGTACTCAATGACGAAGATTATACTTACAAGGGTGCTTCAAGGTAAATTTTTGGCTTCATGTCACTACACAAGGATGAGATGAGACTCGATAGCTCGGCCAAGAAAGCGTCCGAGGCATAGTTGTTGATTAATTTTCCTTCAATGCAGAACACGGATGGAACTCCGAGATCACGGAAGAAGGAGAACATGTCCTGGCCTAAACCCTGAAGACTAAAGAGAACAAGGTATGAAACGTTAGATGACAGAGCTTGGATGTGGAATAAAAGCGGTACGCAGTGGAATAGCCTGCTAACAGGCCCTCGCCTCAGGAATTAGTAAAGGGAAGCGAAAGCAGAAAGAGATGTAAAGAGAGGCTTTCTTTGGCCCTCTTTCTTCTAAGCTGCTCGTATACAGAGAACATCGAATATGAGAGTTTTAGCATCAAATGTGTTTCTTAGAGTAGATTGCACTGAATAGAGTAGTTTTCAATTGAGTGTCATAACACCAAAACCAAACCAATTACTTACTAATTAGACAACTCAGCCAACCTCAAACCGTAGTGAAACCAAACCAAAGTAATTGCCTGATTACTTTCGACACTCAATTGAAAACCGCTCTATCAACTTTCTGTAACAAGGACCAAATTCGCGTTGTTTACTAGAAAAGATGTGAACCTGACAGTCTAAGACAAACTTTAGAATCCTGTAAAATACGCTTGGCCCGTTGAAAAGCTCATCAGTTATTTTCTTTTTTTTTTAAGAACCTCTTTAACGTGGCATGATGTCATTGACACGTGCAGAATTTGGCGACCAGTTGGTGAAAAGATAATCAGGATTCCATTGTAGTAACAGTTACGCTGATTATCAAGTAACATATCAAACACGAACGACCATGTTTGACCACATTTCCAAACACAGAGAAGAGAGTTGAAAATTACGACGCGTAGCGGAGTATTTATGATATACTATGAGGTGTTTGGAAATGTGGTCAAACACTGTGTTGAGTGTTTGATATATCTTCTCAATGGAATCTAAAACTAAGGAGAAAACGGAGAAATAAAATCGCAAAAATCTAAGATAATTAAAAACATCAGATATCTAAACACCATCACGGTCGTGATTTTCTTGGTTTGAACTTAATGAATTATTATAATGAGTTTGAAAAGAGTGCTTTAACAACCTTGGATGAAGTTCCCCTCGTTCTCCATTCTCAAACTGAATTCGCCTTTTCCTCTTGTCTTGTTCTTTCCTGCGTTTGGCCTCGATATCCTGCCAAGTCCCCTGCCCGTCACTAGGTTGTCCAACACTCAGTGAATCCACACCACTGAAAGACGAGGCCTTAGAACCACCCCAGGAAACCGTCGAAGACAAACTGGGCGGCTTCTCTCGTTCGGAAAGCTGTTCTTCTCTCTTAGGAAGGGATATCGTCAGGTTTTCAGAAAGAGGCGTTCCTGGCTGTGAAATAAATTCTTCTGATTCTTGAATTTCAGCTGCGGTGAAAGTCTCGAATGTTGGTTCCACATCAGATGGGTCCGAGCTGTGCTGCTTCTTTGATTCGTCCGTTGGTTTTGCTCTGTCCTTAGCTGATGTTCCATCGTTTGATTTCACTTCTTTAAGACAAACAAAAGCTAGTCAATAAACAATAAAGCACCTCAGATTCTGGCGTCATTAGCTTGTAGACATTTGGGTTGTTGCTGGAAAAAAGGTCCTGTGATGGTGAAGATAAGATAAGAAACTTTATCCAAGTGTCAAGGTATTAAGCCCTAGCGAACTAATTGGGGACACTAGTCAGTTTAAGTGGCGCTTCTAATCCGAGTTTTAGAACATTCCTATTTGATAAGTGTCACTATTCCATTTTAGTATAAATCTACTGGCGCTCTATCACGAATGTCGTTCTCTGATTGGTTACGCTACTCACTCTCTATTCTGTTGTAGTTAGTGAGTAGCGCGGCAGTGTGCCCTTGTGAACAAAATGACGGCCGCTGCTTTGCGTTTTCGAAGTGTTTGAGAAGAGGATTTAGACTAAAGTTTTGAACGACTAACAGATTTATACTAAAACAATTAGATTATTCGCTCTCCATTTCTATCGCGTGATAGTTGACTCGAGCTGTGCCCTCATCATCTATCACGCGATAGAAATCTCGACCTCATACTCTAATTGTTAAATATCATAGCGTTTGAAAGAGAAAGAAAACAAAATTGGCAAAACAAGAAGAACAATACGGACATTGAAAGTTATAACACCCACCTGCTGGAGGTAAGGCAGAGGATGATTCTGCGATTTCCTGAGCATCTGATGTGCTTCTATCACCAGATATCCCCATCGCTTCTTCGTCAAGGGAAGCAGCTTCTGTCTGGAATACTTCATCATCCTCCGTACTTTGTCTGGAAACCGGACGAAGAGAAGAAAAACTCTGTCGCTGGGACAGGAACGGGTTTTGGTGTGCCCTTCCTGATACCCCCGTGGACCCTGATGAAGGAGTGCTGTGATGGCTCCCTACAGAAGGGGTTCGCCGCTGTCCCGTAAATGAGGGCCTCCTGTTGCGGAAGCCTGACTGACTACCAAAGTCTAGCTGTCGCTTGGGGAACCTTTCTGATGTCTCAGGGACAGACCCTAATTTAGGACCCTTTGGGGCTGGGGCTATGGGCGAGGGGGGTTCAGAACAGGATCGTTGGCGTGTAATCGTGGACTTCCAGTACATCTTGGGCACTTTCGATAATGGTGCGGCTAAGAGGTAGTACTCTGTTAGAAGGTCGCACAGAGCATGTCTTAAAGCGAGCTTCAACTGGCCTTTAAGTTGGTCGAGACCGATGTCACCACGTTCCCAGATTGCAAACTGCACCATGACATCATCCTGGTCTGAAAAGAGACAACAGAAAATTCAATGTTACTACCTTTAGCCAATTATATAAGTTTCGCTGTACTCGATCCTATCTTTGACGATATTCATCATACAAGGACAATAAAAAACACGATAAAAAACACGTAAGTTGCATGGCTGAGTGGTTAGGGCGCCGGACTTGAAATCCGGAGGTTGCGGGTTCAAGTTCCGCTATGACCTTTTAGCTGGAGTCGTTTCTCAGTCCACCCCAGTTCAACTCCTCTGTCATCTTTGTAAATAGCCAACTGGTCTGCCTCCCGCCATTTGAGATTTTTTAAGCCTATTAAGCTTATTCGAAATATTTCTTTCTTTCAGCTTAGGTGGCACGTCTGAGAACTGTGTAGGTGTAGCTAAGCGCATATCATTGTCCACTATAAACAACAAACATTTGAAACAACATTTTGAGGTTTTTCTATCGAAGTCAAGTCCTGAGTTGACGAATATGTATAAATAATCAAAATGTCACCATGCCGATATGGTGTCCAGTAGTGGCAACATAACGCCACTACTGGGCATGTTACTTAGCAACATACCGCTGACAAACTGCAGGCTCAGTCGATTCTCACAGTCGGGATTCAACCCTAAAATATAGATGTTTCCCTGACTAAAATATCAATAAATTACCTAACTGAACTTCATCTGTGCACAAGAACACTTCAGTCAATGGTTCAAAATAGTCCAATTCACCAGCATACACAGAAACTGTCTTTCCACAAGGAATGTAGATGTATCCGCCACGTGAGTTAAGAACAGACACAGAAATGCAGGCCAAGCCTGGAAAGACAACCAAAAGGAAGAAAAATTAAATAATTCACTTCAGTTAGAAAACAAATACCGAGGAAAAGACAACTGAGTTCGTCCGAATGTCTGAAAAACCCCAAGGGGACGTGAAATAAACGTATGCATGTAATGCCATCGGGAAAGAGCGGTTAATTATCAGTGTTGCCCCTTTGTATAAGCCATCATCTAACAGACCCTCAAACGTTTTATTTGTAAGCCCTCTCCCGGATAACAACGTTGCCCTCTTGTATAAGCCATCCAGGACACAACAAGTTGTCGTATATAACAAATTGTTATAAGGCAAGGTAGTCTTGAGGTAAATCCGAGCGTTGTGATTGGTTCTTTCTTGGTCGGGAATTTGCCTCACAGACCGTTTCTATGGAAACGGTTATAAGCTGTGTTTGTTTTCGAAAGCCGGGAAAATAATAAACAATCATGGCCCGAGCGCCACATAATAAAGTTCTTACTAACCTAGCTTGCTCGAGCCGTACTGGGAATATTGGCCCTCGGTCGCTTTCGAAATGCCACGACCTCGGGCCAATATTCCCTAGTACAGCCCCCGCGATCATTTATTAAGAAGTTAATATCTTGATCTCATACCTTTTCCTCCAGATGAGTGAGGTCTGTTGTACAAGTAAATCTCTGGCTGCAGTCTGGAGCTTTCGCCATTAGCACAACCAGTAGCTTCCGTTTTGCTTCCACTCACAGCTTTAAAATGATGGCTGGGGTCAGAGTCCATGTAACGCGGGGAGAACAGAAGCTGGGACAAGTTTTGACGCAAATAAAACGTCAACGGACACAGGAAATTCACGTCCATGGGTGGGATGACAAGGGTGAGAGTGGTTTTGGGCGCTTGTCCTTGAGGTTGTATAAACTGTGAAGAAAAACGGTTGATAATAAATCTTGCTACATTGGAAGCTCTCTTAACGGACACTCTCGTAAGTGGACAGCTCTACTAACGACCGCCTTTACAAAACCCCGTTTGATCTCCCATACATAGTTAATAGAGGGGAATGGTTATGAAACTCGACAAAAGTTTTTGTTTTATGTTTTTGTTCTCTTTTTTTGGCCTTGACCGCGCGCAAAACACAATAGTTGTTTACTACAGACCGAGGAAATAACCAATCGAAACGTTTTGGTTACGTAATTCGCGCATAGTGTATGGACGCAAAACAAAAGATTGTGCACGGTCGTGGACCTTCCAACATAAATCTTGGCATCCTTGTTTGCTCCTTTGATGTTTGCCGGGCTCCATAACCATTCCCCTCTATTAACTATGTCCCATACAAACTCTGAATTTAGTATTACTCATTCCCGTAAACGGACATTCTCGTAAGCGGCCGCGGGACACTTGGAGGGCCTACGATCTAGAATTTTCCTTTGTTTTTAAGCTCCCTTAAACGTACACTTCAAAGGAATTGGGCCTGGCTTTGACAGATACTTATAAACATTTGTAAACTGAATCACTGCTTTTTGTTGCAGTGAGACTGTTAATGCTTGTGTTAATGCTGGCTGCAATTATCAATTGTTCTTTAATCACTAAGGGCCGGTCCTAATACTGCAGTATACAGTACTGTGTATGTGCAGTTATCGCCAATATCGGCATTGCACAAGACAATAAAACAAAAAATGATAATAATTTAGTGGTATGTTTTCATTCCCAATGTTTATTGTAAGCTGTGCAAGCTCCTGTGGGCGGCCATCTTTCCTTTACAACTTCAATAGCCGCTGACGAGAACTATTCTCGTTAGCGGTCAGCTCCAGTTACGGACAGCTTTTTCGCGTCCGAGGGTGTCTGTTTACGAGGGCTTTCACTGTATATTGCACAGCAAACGAGAACAAGTATCTTAAGGTGACATATAAAACACTCACGATCGTGCTTGACCACATTTCCAAACACCTCGATGTCCATCAAAAATACTCCTACTAATACACTACGCGTCGTGTTTTCATCTCTCTTTTCTGTGTTTGGCAATGTGGTCAAACATGGTCTTTTGAATTTGATATGTTACCTCCAATCGAAGGAAACCATTCACAATGAACAGTATTGCTTTTCATGTCAAGGTGACGGCTTTTAAATGATTGCGGTGGTGAAAGATGCACTAATGAAAGATATCAACTCTATCGCATGGTTTGCGTGACTGACGAACAAAAAAAGATTTTCCGCAATAATCGTCAACAGGTTTTTCAACTTTTTCAACTTTTTTGCACATGCGCTTAACTGTAAAACCGCCCCTTTAATTAACACTAACCCGAACATCAGCGTAGGTCAGTTTGCAGTTTGGATTCCTGGAGAGAAGAACAGACAACACTTCTAACATGGCTTCATTGATTCTGTTCTGCAAAACCTCAACCAGTTCCACTGTGATCTCTGGACCGGGATCGTCCACGCCGTATATATGAAGTGCAATGCTCTTGTCTATCACGGGGTGCACTGATTGAGTGCTTCGTCCGCTGTCACTGATCGTGTCTCGTTCAGGAGCTGGAAATTGCTTCTTTAATTTGGATTCCTGTGAGAAGAAGAGATATTCTAATTTTAACGCTAAAAGGGAACTTTTCCCTTTTACCACTCTCATATGAAAGTACCATAGCCTTCACTTGAATGGTCACATACTAGTTTCATCCATAAAAGTGAAAGTTAAAACCACCTTGTACAGCTAAATAAACTGTTCCATAGGAAAGTACTGCTCAATAGTTTTCATTTGAATGGTCACACATTAAGGTTTCATCCACAGACTGAAAAGTTAGAACCACCTTGAACAGCATAATAAACAGCACCACATGAAAGTTCTGCTCAATAGCTTTCACTAGATTTAAACGTTAGAACAACAGCATGGTACACTACAGAAATAGTACAACTTACAATGACTTCCTCATCCAGCTCGCCTGTTCCTCCCTTCACAAGAGACCACTGCGAGGATGTTCTTGAACCGGCCAATGATGCAACTGATGACATCCCTGAGCGACACTCGTCATCGTCATCGTCTGGAGCACGGAGCTCAGACGGGAATTGATTTGAGGAGTCGCTCGAACACAGAGACTCGAACAACCTGGAAGATTGAAGGGGTGCGTGTTTCCAACGAGTGAGGATTTACAAGAATAATGCAACACCATAGCAGTTCAGAGTTAATTGTAACAGTTTAAGCAAAGGGTACCATAATTTTGAGATAAATAACGTCTACTGCTATACTCTTTTAAAAGATTTCCAGTTTCTTTCAATTTTAGAACACATCTTCTTTGACACATGATCGTCAAACATAGGCCAAATATACCTCGAGTGCACAAACTAGTAAACATCACAAGACTGCAGAATAAGCTGGTCAATTAATACGTCCAAGTTGTCTGACATAACGAGAGAAGAACAATAACGATATTACTTTGGGACATGAAGTGTCCGCAATTTCGTAATAGTGGAAGTCTGTAATAGCGGGAGTTGTTTCCATACATTTTCTTTGTAGTTTCGGCCAGGGATTTCGCTTCTATCCGTAATAGCGGGGTGTCCGCATATTATGGAGCGAAAAATTTACTTCAAAATGGCGAAAGGGCTTACTTTCCGACTTCTCTCAGAAGTAGAAAGCTGCTCGTAAATACCTCGGTTTAATCCTTAAAGCACTACAATGTAAGCTCTAGCAATTAACTTACCTGAAGTAAAAGACCGCTCCATGGCTGTCTTTGTAGACAAACATGTCTTTCCTGTTGCTCACTCCAAACCTGTCTAGCACACTCTTAATAGCCTTCAACCCGCGGGAGATCCCGGTCCGACCCGAAGTGTCAAAGAGCCGCTGATGCACCGGTAGATGAGTGTGCCAAACACTGTTGCAGCCAAAATGACCGGGTGGAAAGAGAAACTGAACCTGAACGAACTTGTTGGTGACACGACCTAAGAGAAACAGTGTGAATATTTCCCATTCATCTGTCAATTGACGTTTATTTTTATTTATTTATTTATTTATTTTGATTTAAAATTCATCATTAACCTGTTAACGGACCATATTCGTATTCTCGATATTAGACTGGAACTAGCTTGCAATAGAGGCTTATGCGGGGGACTATCATTAAAAAGATATTAATGTCATTTACATTTGAAAAGACTCCCCATTTTAGCCTCAGTTGCAAGCTAGTTTCAGTCCAATACCGGGAATACGAATATGGCCTAATTGTCGCGGAGTTCCGCCAGTTGGAGCAGTAGGATCTAGAAACTAGCTAGAGGCCTGGCAGTAGGCTTCGGGCCAGGCTACTAAGGAATTAAGAAAACGTGGTTGAAACGAACGATAGTTTTTAGAACATTGAACTTTTTCTTTAACTTTTCGCAGTGGAATAGTAAATTTAGAGTTTAAATGTACATGTGACTTCATCTTTCATCTTGTTGTCGTCTTTTTTTTCTTTCTGGTGAAACGTGGCTCAACAGAGATCCGTGTAATAAATTTTTCCTTTAGTTTGTTAGATTTCATATTTTTCTTCGCACTCTAATAAGCAGAGGGTAGAGCGCACAACTGAGAAAATGAAGGTCAACATACAGCCTGAAAAAGTCAGACATCAAGCTGAGTCTTAAACCTAAACATGGGAAAAGGAAATAACTGACATATACTGGTAAAGCGATATCTAATTAACTTTAAAAATTCTTGGGGCAATTTTCAGCTGTCCTAAACAAGCTGAATATTGAAGCCTGAATATTGAAGTCTATCTAAAACCTAGCTTTGGACTGAATCAAGGTTCACACCAGATTTGCTGTCGCCTTTGCTGATATGAACTCCAAGAGGTGACACGGAGATTTGAACATCCTCGTGCTTCCAGATCTCTTCGTCTGACTCAGGAAACAACATTGAATGGCATATCTTGGTCTCGTACAAGTCGTGTAACAACATACGCTGTGAATCAAGGAAACCGACACTCATCAGTAAAGAACTGCAATGCCATGCACTGTACTGCAGTGCACTACACTGCACTGCAATGTACCGTAATGCAATGTACTCCAATGCAATGTTGTGCAATCCAAGACACTGCACTACACCGAACTGCAGCCCGCTTCAATGAACTAAAATATACTGAACTGCAATGCAAAGTAATGCAATGCACCACACTGAACCGGAACGTAACGTAATCCGATGCATTGCAATGTCATGCAATCCAATAAACTGCACAATGCAATGCACTGAACTGCAGTCCACGGCAATGCACTGTAATGTCCTGTGCTGCAATGCACTGCAATTTATTACAATAATTATTCTGAACTGCAAAGCAGTGCAGTGCAACTTATTGTAGTATACTGAGCTGCAGTACACTGCAATCAAATGAAATGCAATGTAATGTACTGTACTCTCCTGAAATGCACTGCAGTGCACTGCAATTAAGGACCTGCACTGCACTGTAAGCAATGTTATGCAATGCAATCCACTGCATTGTAATGCAACGCAATGCAATCCACTTTGTCAAACCTGTCTCATTAAGTTGATCACCGAGAGCTGTCAAGTACTTGTCACCAAATGTTTAAAGGAGCTACGTCACGGTTTGCGCATCTTGAAAAGTTGAGCCTAAATTTTTCAAGTCCGTCGTTTGTAATCCGTGTTAATCTTCTCCATCCTTAAAGTGGTACTTTTTGCATATTTTACACATTTTTCCAGCTTAAATATCTCCCGAACCAATGCTGATATTTGCAAACGGTAAACGGCATTTCTAATCTTTCGTGGAATCCTATGAGACACAGCTAAACACTCAAGGGGTAAAAATTTGATCATAGTTCCACTTAAACCATCCTTGTTCTTTTTCTATCTTAGTAAACTACTATTTTCAGCTTCCTCTCAATTTAAAGATACTTTTGTAAGAGGCTAAAACAACTGAAAATAACGTAACTGAGCTCCTACTTCAAGCATGACCTACCTGATTAACAATGCGGCATTTCTCATGAATAGCGTTTGTCACTACCTCCACCAGACCGTTGGCCCTTGTTGGGCAAAACGATTTGGGATTGTCTGATTCTCTGGGTTTGGAAACAACAAAATGAGTGTTACTGAAGCGCTAGCCTGCAGTGCTGGCGTATTTTGGGAGCGCGATTGCACATTTTCGTAGTAGGTCGCCATCTTGGATTTGGTAACTGTGGAGGGCTGGGGCAAAGAAATATTTGCCGAGGGAGTCGGCCGAGGGAGTAGGCGTGAAGTGGAAAAAATGGGCAAGGGGGGAGGGGGATCACCCCCACCCCCAGCCCCACCCCGCCTCTGTATCAACCCTCTACCGGTGAAGCATCTAATTACAATCCAAGATGGCGGCAAAACCTAGTTTTTCTAGCGTTCCGCTCCAAAATAATGCCTGCATTGCGGGCTACTGAAGCGCTGAAACTCACAACGGTTTAGAGCCAAAAGCATGCGAAATATAGGCTATTCTTAGAGAATTTTCACCGAAGAGTTTTACTTATTTTATTATTGATAAAGACGGCATAATTTGACAAAAATATATCGGTAATACATTTATATGAGGGGTTGGATGGGATTTAACTAATAGCTGAGAAACTCTCAATGGTTTAGAGCCAAAAGCATGCGAAATATAGACTATTCTCAGAGAATTTTCACCGAAGAGTTTTACTTATTTTATTACTGATAAAGACGGCATAATTTGACAAAAATATATCGGTATTACATTTGTATGAGGGGTTGGATGGGGTTTAACTAATAGCTGAGAACTTGTTAAGTTTTTTTACTGTCAGCTGAGAAATGACCGAGTTTTGCGATTTGAAACATTTACTCATACCTAAGAAATGGGCTTCAATTCACACTGATAGCCGAGAAATCATGCAACATAGCCATTAAATAAAAAATTCTCAGTCTTTTAGGGCTTTTTTTAATCTATATTTTTGTAAGTACACACCTAGTTTTAAGCATGAAGGAAAAACTAAACCTCCAAGAGTGACGTTGTGCAGAGTGGAAGTGACCAAGTGACAACGAAGTGATTGCGATGGACCAAACGAACGCAGAAACAACACAGTTTTGCAATATAAATACAGCACGCTCTCTTACTTTAGATTCAGTTGACGACAATTTGCCTCACACTTACCTTCGATGAAAGAAGATAGCCACTTCATTATCGAATATTCTCATCACAAGCCAAAACTGCAAGTATTCTTCCGCGACCTCGCCAGCCTTCTGTTCTTCTTGGCGCGGGGTAAGCGGACTTGCTGCACTACCCTCGCCATCCTTTGCTGCCACGTCACTGGAGTAAGCCGAGGTAATGTCTATAGCAGCCATGAGCAGCTTCCCCACTGGGGTGCTACCAGCAGAGGAGGTAAAGGAAGAGTCCTTGACTGGGGTGATTGCAGCGGGGCTGTCTGCTTCCTCTTGTGTAGGATTCTGTTTACCTACCTCGCCAAGATGCGGATGGTTAGTGGCTGAGGTTGTCTCTCCATCTTTCACGGGGTCTTCTTGTAAGGATACAGTGACAGCTGGTGATCCAATAGAAGTGTCTAGTTTATTACTCTCTTCTTGTTGAGTAGTTTCCGACTGTTTTTCTACGTATATAGCTAATAACCCTTCATCAGCTCCGGAGTGAGACTCAAGAGTATTTTCCACCTCTGCAACAGCAGTTTTTTCTTCCTTCCCTTTGGAATCTGTGACTGCTTTTGGCGTGGTTGCACCATTTGGATCCTCCAGTGATTTCTGCTGCTCCTTCCCAGAATCACATTTTTCTCCTTCTAGAGCGAACGGCGACACAATCGCAACATGCTTCTCGACATAACTGGTCAAATAGTAAAATTTCTCAGTTTCATTCAACTCATATTCCGGCAAGTTAATCTTCTCGAATTCTTTCACAAACAGCTCCAAGCTTTGTTCAGCGCCAAACACAAACTGCAGGCGAACGTGACGCGAAATGCAAGAGGGATGGTCCTCAGACTGTTTCACGTGGTCCTCGACTTTTTCAAGCATTGATCTGTTCACTGGTCCAATATGGCGGAGCTCGGACACTATTTCGTCTTGTAAAAGCCAGCGAATGGCATCGGTTGTAATGTCCATTGCTTGACGTTGAGAATGAAGAAGGCGATGAAGAGGATCTACGCTGTCAATTCTGGAAATAAAAAATAATAAAACAGTTTTCCATAAATTTTCACTCAATTTCACCAACACTATTATTTGGGAATAGAAGTTTACACCTTATTGCCTTAGTAAGTAGCAGACGGCAGACCTCTAAACCATCCCAATAGTGCACTCTGCACAAAAAAACGTTATGACCTTAATAATGCTTTCCTAATTTTCCCGATAAGCAGCAACTTTTTCTCGTCACTAAAATGATGGAAAGCTGGCGTAATGTTTTCCCCTTTATTTCTTTTCGGTGCGAAGACACAAACCCTCTTTACATACTGGACCCATATAAGCACACCCACTGAATATATAAGCAAGAGAGCCTCTCAGCGGGCAGGGGGAGTCTTGTTTTCTTACCAGTGAAATGCCGGAAAAAAAATCACACTTGCCCAAGTATACATAAGTAAATCAATTATTAGCAGTTTGCCGCCATTGCAGCCTGCATTAATGCCTGAGCCCGCAGGTAGGGCTAGGGATGCGCAAAAAGCTGCGCAGTATGTTGTGTACGTTTTTCCGCTCTGAATACGATTACCTACAATGTATATTAACTAAGAAAATTGCGTCCTCACCCGTCAATGTCATGTGAAGTAGCCTTGGAATCTTGTCGTCTGAACTCAAACAACCCAGATCTCTTATCCGTAGGGGAGAGGGAGACGGGAGAGCTTGTGCTGGAGAATGAATTGGAGCGGGATGGAGCGCTGCGAGCAGAATACTTAAGGACTGAGTAATCAGGCTCGGGTGACAGAGTCAGGCAATTCAGGTCCAGAGTGATCCGTACTGATGGACTAAATGGATCAAGACATTCCTCGTCATCTTCAAACTTGCGGATGATTTCTCCTACGAGGAATAAAACAGCGGATATATATATCAGAGTTTATTAAAAACTGGATCATTGGATAATACAATTCAAAAGTTTTCTTGGCTTAGCCATCACGGTACATGAGCCAACATACCATGCCCTAAAAATATGGTAAGCGTACGTGGACGTTTTTATTTTTATTTTACTTCAGTTTTCTATATTTTGGTGGCGTTTTTAATGAAACAATTATTCCACTCGCACTTGTTGAATATAAGATGATTATAGCCAATTAGGCGCTACCCACCTCGTCGGCTATCTACCATCTCATATCCAACGTGCACTCGTGGAATAATTGTTAACTATACTGTATTCACTCAATTAAAAAACTCCAATTTCAATTCTCATCTAAAATGAGCCACCCTCCCCCAACCTACGTCCTTATTAGATTTTGTATTCATGCTTATTGTAACTTCCTCCTTACCTAGGCAGACAGGCAGTGTGTTGATAGACACAGGATGCATAGGCTGCGCATGGCTACTTCTGTCCCTGAGTGTACAGGTCAACTGTAAGAACAGTGGCGACTTCACGCCCTGGTCATCCTCGGTGTCTCCATCAAACTCACTGTCACTTCCTTGGCTCTCAAAATCGGACAAATAATCCATGTCATACTGAAGAGCTGTCCCGTCATCTTCGATCAAGATGCCTGTCTGTACATCTTCAAAAGCATCGGAGCCAGCATCACTGTCTTTGTCTTGGCTCTCATCTTCAGCCGCTTGGTCTGCTTCGTTGGTTTCAGATTCGGAGAAAGATTCTGGGATAGACTAGAAAATAAAAGCAAACAGAAAATATTGCAGTTAGAACCGCTTTGTACAGCATAATAAACAGTACAACTTGAAAGTAGAACTCAGTAGATTTTATTTGAATGGTCGCTCACTGGGGTTTCATCCACGAACTCAAAAATTAGAACTACCTTGTACAGCATAATAAACAGTACCACATGAAAGGACTGCTCAATAGCTTTCATTTAAGTGGTTACACACTAGGGTTTATCGACAGATCACTTCACATTTTTCAGTGTTTGGCTCTGAAGGTTGAAAAGAGTTAAAATCACTTGGAAGGAAGTACAATACCCTTCTAGGGCCATCCGACTGTTGTGGACGGTAGAAAAAGTATTCCCTGCTTGGTGGAACCGCTTCAAAGTATCTTCCAAGAATTGCAAAGAACTTGGCAGTAATAGACTTGTGCAAACCAGTCACCGATTCACACTCTCCAGACAGTATGTTCTTCAGATCTTTAACACGCTCTTCAATAGACAACGATGGCAAGCGAATTGGGACTGATTGAAGCTCCTCATTGATTCTTGCCTTTAAGTCCTCTTTGTCTTTGTTGTTCTTCACATAGTGCCCGCAGAGAGTGCGGATAAAGTCTGTGATGTCAACTTCAAGGAAGTTTTCCTCGCAGGCTTCGACCGCTGAATGAACATCTCGCATGCTCACGTACTGCCCACGCTGCAAACTTGAAAACGTCGACGTCACAAAACTGCGGAAAAACAAATCGTGCACGGCATTAAAGTGACGCGCCAGATCTTTGGAGGTACCAAACTTTCCTTTGGCTCGGCCTTCTAACGACCTGGGCACTTCGTCCAGACTGAATGGATCAATGAAGATCTGAGCTGCAAATAAAGTAAAATCTTGAAAAATATCCTCAAGCTTCTTTGCCTCTTCCGTTGTCACTTCTGTATCAGACTTGGAGTCCGTTATTGATACTAATACTGACATTGGACAGTCGTAGCAATAAATGGGTATACCAAAACTGAAAGAGTCACTTTCCTCGCCCACGCCTCGGTCATGAAACACAGGCTCTTCGTTGATGGGCGTGGCATCCTCTTGGAATGTGACACTTCGCTTTTCATCCTCGGTATTCACCACAAGCTTTGCTTGTCCTTCGAACACTGGCAAATCGCTCTGTCTCTGAGAGAAAGCAAAAGTGCTTTCGTCTTTCTCCACAGTGGGCGTTGGTGTGGGCGTTGGGGTGGCGCTTTTCTCTACAAAGAAAAACGTAAACTGATTACCCCATGTCATTATTCCTTAGTACACCCTTCTAAGCAGAGATAACTAAACACGATGTTTACATTCAATGCTTTCAGCTCGTAGTTTAAAATATAGCTGTAACCCAGTCGTACACTTCACATCCCTTTATGGCACATCACGATAACCTTGGTGTTGGTCTACTCCGGCGCGTGCGCATTTACGCCCTCCGATACCCCCTCCCTGATACCCCCTTCTCTCAGAAATAAATGTAAGAGATTTTATAAAAAAATTTAAGATAATATGTGTGTTCTCATTGGTCGATAGGAGTGTTTAGATGAGAGTGCATGTGTGAACGCAGCTTTTGATAAAATATTTTATAAAAGCAATAGGGAACCCTTGATTACGTCTCAGGTTTGCATAACTGTCTCAAAGTCTCCCAACCACATTATTACCACCCTCGTGAGGCTATGTAAACACGGAAAAAGTCCTCTATTGCTTAAATCTTTAAAATACTTTAACTTCTTGGGATTATAAACCCCCCTTCTGTTCATACTGTTCTGTATTTTACACCAATCTTTACGTTCCAAGACTATGACCACCTAGGAGGTCTTTTGAACAAAACAAACTCAAGCCCAGAACTTTGGGTGACTTCTACGATACAGATGTACTCTACTTATTTGACTTAACTCATGCATCGTCCAAAACACACCTTCAACAGAGCCTTGGGACAACAAAGAAACACCAANTAGATGAGAGTGCATGTGTGAACGCAGCTTTTGAGAAAATATTTTATAAAAGCAATAGGAAACCCTTGATTACGTCTCCGGTTTGCATAACTGTCTCAAAGTCTCACAACCACATTATTACCAACCTCGTGCTTAGATGAGGCTATGTAAACACGGAAAAAGTCCTTTATTGCTTACATCTTTAAAATACTATAACTTCTTGGGATTATAAACCCCCTTTCTGTTCATATTGTTTTGTATTTTACACCAATCTTTACGTTCCAAGACTATGACCACCTAGGAGGTCTTTTGAACAAAACAAGCTCAAGCCCAGAACTTTGGGTGACTTCTACGATACAGATGTACTCTACTTATTTGACTTAACTCATGCATCGTCCAAAACACACCTTCAACAGAGCCTTGGGACAACAAAGAAACACCAAGCTTTTGCTTTTGTTGTTCACTTCCAGTATGAGAACTGTTTTCATCTGACGCTCCTTCAGGCTCCATTTCTCCGGCGTTATGCGGAATACTTGGACTGCTCCCTGTACTAGAGCTCCTACCGCGCACGTACCTTCCCATGAGCCTAATGTACTTAAAGCTCGCTGGGAGGAACGTCAGAATGAGACGATCATAGCCTCGGAGGTCGCTTACACTGCGAATAAAACACCGCCACTTGATCGAAGTGGTGTTCCCGTTTCTTGACCTTTTTTCGCTACCAATATTCAACGTAGAATTGCCAGATTTCTTAGCTTGATGGAGTTCTTCCTGGAACGGTAAGGGCACGCCATTTCTTGGCCGACTCTGGACATGTTGAGTGAATCGCTGCCAGTCTTCCTCGTTCAGTACGACCTCACGATCATTTAAGCGCTCCATGTTTTCCAGCAGGAGTTTGAAAAGATTTTCATTGGGAAGGTCACTGTTATCATCTGAAGCTGTGAAAAAAAAAAGAAAGAATTCTCAAGTAAATATACGTAAAATCGGGAGATATGCTAAATGAGCAACAAATTCAACTCACATGTTTAGGACCAGCATCTTTTCCCAGGCCCGGGATTCAAGCCTGAGTTGTAATGGTGGGGGGGGGACGCTCTCAACAAACAACATGACACACAAATGCATTATAAAGGAACTCAGTCACGGTATTTTCAGTTATTTTTGCCATGTACAAAATTATCTTTAAATTGAAGGAAACCTAAAAATGGTAGTTTACTACGAGAGAAAAACACCAAAGGGATAATTAGGAACCATAAAGAAACAAGGATGGTTAAGGATGGAGAAGATTAACGCGAATTACAAACGACGAACTTTAACACCGAAAAGCTTATTGAATCAAAGGAGTTCATGTACCTTGTGGTGAGGTCTCCATCAGAGAAGAAAACACCATCTCTACTTGTCGAGATTTTGGCAGTAGCCCAATAACATCAAATGGAAATGGTAACTGCTCCACCACCCAATTGCTGTTGGTCAGTACTGAGTCTGCTTTAGGCACCTTGACAGTTCTGTGGGGGGTGTTGACGGTCTGGTCATCGCTCATACTCCAGAGATGATCATAAGTTAACAGTTTTGACACATGTTTGACATCCACTTGATAGACCTGGTTAAAAAGTAAAACAAGTCATCGGCTTCACATCAAATTGATCTCAAGTCAACTTAAGGAGCTATGTCAAGGTTTGTCCGTGTTGAAATTTTCCAAGTTCGTCGTTTGTAACCCGTGTCAATCTTCTCCATCCTTAACCACCCTTGTTCCTATATGGTTTATTATTATCTCTTTGGTGTTTTTCTATCTTAGTAAACTACTATTTTCCGGTTTTCATTAATTTAAAGGTAATTTTGTACGTGGCCAAAATGACTAACAATACCGCGACTGAGCTCCTTTAACATGTGTTATTAGTAATATTGTGTTTGGAGCGATTTTCACTTGAGCGAAGTTAAACCAAAAGAGGACACCTCAAAGAGGGCTAACCTACGAATTTCTGAACACTACTTGGACGCTATTCTTGAGAGTTAGAGGGAAATTTGTGCTACACGTACTGTGTGTATGTTCATCAGAGTGCAAAGAAAGTACTGCCCTGGGAAAGTACTGGGCTTATTGGATTTTGCAATCGGGCAGGAGGATTCTCTCTGTCACTTGCCCTTGGGCAAGTGAAGTTTCTGTTTGAGGAATGTAGATTACAGAAGTACTGTGGGTTTCATTAACGTTTTCAGCAGGAAGGCAGCTGGTTTTCACAGGCAAGCAAAACGTTTTGAACTGAACTTTCTCTTGAGAAAAACTTTCCTCTAAATAGTCAAACTAGGCAAGCAAAATCGTCCTCACAACCAGTCAATTTTCCCGGTGTCAGGCTCGTCGTGAAGCCCCAATTAACTACAAAAGATGAATTTTAGGGCTAAGAAGAATACCTTTCAAGCTAGCAAATCTTAGTTACAATAGGTTAAGCCAAAAAATGAGTTTTCTTTCTACTCTTGAAAAAATCTGTACATGTTATGTGAGCTAACCCATATAAAAAGCTCACCGCATTGGGGACGTCATTGTACTGTAGTCCTTCCAAATACTTGAGCTCAGAATTTAAATTAGTGAGACGGCCAAGCTGCGGTTCAGCCCACACTTCAGTGACCATGTTAAAGTTGTGTTTTCCTTTGTACGCCCATTCAACAACAGAGTCCTCTGAACGCTCCAGGTCGTATGGATGGTTACCGCGATACGGTGGGAAAAGTACATACTGAATGATACAAGAGTACAATTGGTCGTTGTCTCTGGTGTGGTCCTAATGAGAAAAAAAGAGAAATAGTTAAGCTATTTTGGTCAGTGCTGGACGTGGTTGTCAATCAAAGAGGTCAGGGTCATGTATTTTACTATGAGACGAAATTTTAATGTTATTTATTTTTTTATTGTTTACATTCCCAAGTGTTCTCAGGGCTTGAAGCTTGTGGTATGCCAGATCCTTAGTACTAATTTAATTCTGCACTGTCAGAGTTTATTTTATAAAAAGTTGCATTCCTCACAAGAGCTCATAAGAACAGCACAACTGCAATTGAAAACTGATTCACCGCGTCCAACTTTATGTTTCCTTTTTCCTTTGTCACTGCACATGGCAATTATGTCCACCACTGATGCTACAGCGCTCCATTACCAGCCGCTGTTCGGGAAAGGAACCCGCTCTATCCCCNCTTCATGCTACAGAAACCGGGATAAGCTCCGGCCTGGTGGGCCACTTGGCTCGTACGCAGACTTTTTTTACCTATTATGGTTATATCAGAGCTCCCAAACCATGTGTCGTCAGCAGCTAAATTTGAAATGGCCATTAATTGAAGCGACTTACGTTTTATGTATCGACCTCAAGTAACGTCAACAAAGGAAGAGTTGTCAATGGCCTTATTCTTACGAATCAATCTCCCAACCCACTAGGAACTTCTTAAGTTTACTCTGAAGATTTTTCTTTCCCTTACTTCGTTAGTGTCGAAAGCACTCTTGCAACACCATCATCAGTTATGGAAGGTGCCCCTTCATCTTGCATGGTCCAAATCCACCGATGGTGATGAAGATACTGACACAAAACCTTCATGTGGTTCTCATTTGTTCTGTGTGCATACACGCCTGTGAGACTATGGAACACGGAGTAGTGAGGCTGCTCTGGAAAAGGAGTAAAGAGGTCTTCGGGGATTCTCTCATATCGAACAAGGATTCTTTCTAGAGATTTGTTGAACATGATGGCACATGGTTTTTCCATCACTGTCCTCTGTTTTGACAGCTGTGCAACGCGCTGCAGATTTTTGGCTTTTACTTGAGGTTTGACATTCACGCCCAGTGGAGCTGTAATCTTGGACAGCTTGGTCTTCAGGTCTGATACAATCTGAAGTGAAGGAACAAGCAACAATAAATAGGCAGTCCTCTTCTAAATCTCTTGGGCAACACTACTGTGGTGTCATTAATCAAGTCAGTTCATTAAACTAGGCCTGCAAGGTAGATGTTCTCAAATCAAAAGTAAACAATAATTTTAACTCAGCATAGATCTGTATCCTCTGTGTTCATTACATTGCATTAGAAACTGTAAGTATTTTACTGACCTCATGTCGAATGTATCCGTCTGTTCCTCCAAGGAAAGCTACTCTGATGACAATACAAGGTCCTCTAGCTGTTATTCGTGCAATACAGAAGGACGAAGGAGCGTCTTCGGGATTTTTTCCGCTTAAATCACAGAAATACTTAACATTACATACCAAGACACTTGTTTTACTAATTGCGTATTGCTGCCCTGTTGTACTAAACACAAAGCATATTCAGTTCTAAACACGACTGCATTAAAAGGAATGACATTGTAATACCAATGAAATTAAACAGCCTTAATCAAGCTTAGTTACGACTTTGTGATGAATTGCGGTCGTTACGCCCGAATCCAGTTCGTCGGACTGTTACCTCCGTGGGCAATAGATTAAAGAACGAGAAATAGGCATGTTTTGTGTAATTTTGTTTTGTCGTGGGTACAATGTTGTCTTTTGTTCTCGTTTAGTTCAAAGAAAGAAAAATTGACACATCTTTGTTTAAACTTTTTTTGGGGGGGGGGGGGGGGGGGGNTACGGTCGTTTCGCCCGAATTCAGTTCGCACGGACGGATTCTCGGTTCGACCGGACTGTTAGCTTCGTGGACAATAGATTAAAGAACGAGAAATATGAAATAGGCATGTTTTGTGTAATTTTGTTTTATTACGCCCACAATGTTGTCTTTTGCGTTCGTTTGGTCAAAGAAAGAAAAATAAACACATCCTTCTTTGGACTTTTTTTTTTCGGCCGAAGGGACTTTTAGTCCGGGCGAACTGACATCGGGCGGACTGGCTATTGGGCGAAACGACCGGATTCCTTTGCGATAAAGAACACAGAGTGCGTTAGAAAATGTGTAGAGAAAAACACGAGACTTTGTCAAGTGTAAGTCCTCTATAGCCACTTCTCAAAGGCTTCTTTACCAAACAGAGCACAATTAACTGGTCATTTTGTTTACTGCAAAATAAAGCACCAGACGTAAGGTTTTTATTGTAATTAAAATTGATTACCCAATAGTGACTGCAGGCCACAACACAGATGTCATTTTTACCTGGTAATGAACTTGATATAAGAATGGTTCTCAAGCAAGACAAAAGAGCTCCAGTTTCTAAACAGAGAGTTAAGTGAACTGAGTGCAACTCGACACTGGATAGCACTGGAACGGTCATTCTCCTGTGGTTGATGAAGATTCTTTGGCAAAGGACTGCAAAAAATTCAAACAATTAAACGGTTTAGCCATGAAACAGCACGTATCTTAATTTGCAGTGAAACTTGAGAGCAGCTTAGAAGAGCAAAACATAGGCTACACACTCCGTAAGATCATATTACATCATTTTGCTCCGAAAACGTAACGAGAACGCAAGCCTAACGCAAGGGTTTTTGCAGTCATTCAAGAGAGCAAAATGATGTATTTAAGAATTATTCCACAAGCGCACGTTTGATGCGAGATGATAGATAGCCAAGGAGGCGCGTAGCACTGAGTTGGAACTTGACTATAATCGTCTCATATCCAACAAGCACGAGTGAAATGATTGTTTTTATTAAAACGCCCTCAAAATATAGAAAACGAAAATATAATAAAAATAAAAACGCCCACAAGATTGCACATACGCTTGTCATATTTGTGGAGCATGGTGTAATGGCTCATGTGAGGAGAAGGCTAAGCCAATGAGAACTCTTGAATTGCATTATCCAGTGATCCGGGTTTTAGTAATACGTTATAACTCTTCAGACAAGCGACTTACACATCGTGTTCCAGGACAAGTCCAATTCTGTGACAATGCATCCATCTTTGCCTAAAAGTCAATAAAATCATAATTGCATGTTCACAGTCAAGACAATTCATATAGTTTACAATCGTTGTAAAGATGGTAGAACGCCGATTTTTCAAAACTCCAAGGGAAACGAAAATTGGTCCGAAAAGTAGATAGTTTGAGATATCGACAGTTAAACATCACTGAAATAAGTCCAAGTGAAACGACTTTTGGTTCAAGTTATCGCCGGGGAGGTTCGAGACCTCGAAGGTTCGAGAGATAGCAATCGCACTGTATGAAAAACATTGCCAAAAACCTCTAGCTTGCAGTCTGATTGTTAAATATCTAGACTGACTGATAATTACTAAACTGCAAAATGCACAATGCAAGTTTACCATCCTGATGTATCAAGGGATAAAACTGGCTTCCAAAACACGGCAAATTGTGACTCTTGGGATTTTGAACTCTTCCTAAAATCACAAAAAGATGACAATGTTGAACTGTAATAACCTATAAGTCTTATGAGTCCACAGTCAACAACAGACAGGACTACAACAGAATAAAACTTAACACCAAATTGGTCTTCCTCCTTGCATATTTCTACAACTGAGTTATTTCCAGCATAACTCTCCACTTAATGTAATTTGTGAGGTCATCAGTAACCCCATTGGCCTGGCCATAAAGCCTTAAGACCTTAACAAATTTTCAGAGATAACTTAAAGGTAATTTTTACCCCCCCTCGTCCCCCCTCCCTTGCCATTGTACTGAAATACACACTTTTTCAATCAATTTTCTCACGAGTTAACGTAAGTGAAAACAAATAGTTTTGTTTTGTATTATTTCATGAATTTAAAAGTGAGAAAACTGTCCTCACCTTCCATGTTGCAGAGACAACACCTGCAAGGAAAGAAAGTTTATGATTACATTCTCAAACGACTAAATAACATTTGTATAACTTAGAGAGTGTGCCATGGGCAAAAACCTTAGTTGATGTCTGCCTCCAATCAGGTTAAAGAAACAGCATTACATTCATATCTCTCAACAATACTCACAGGATTGTTAGAGTTGGGTGGAAGGTAGAACAAAGGCACTCCATTTTTGGCACTCTCTGGTATGGTGTAGTAACTGGGATTGGAGGAGAAGGACTGGAGATGAACAAGCATTTCATCCGTGCTCTGAAGACTGAGAACAATAATAATTACATTTATCAACCAAATTGATTGCTCAAACAAACAGATCATAAAACTTATGAAGCCATTAAAGTATGCCACTGCAAAATAGAAGTTAGTCTATCAAGGTACCTTCTGATGGTTTGCCGAAATCGTTTGACAACAAGTGTTCTGCAAAGGAAGATGTAAAATGCTTAACTTTGATTGCCTTTCAACTTGAACTGATATATTTGGTATGATTCAGATAACCCTACATTTATTGAGTAATCTGATTCATACACTCATACACTCTCCCCTCCTTCCTCCACCCAGCACCTATTCAAGTTTAACCAACCACTCTATCACCCATTTATACGAGTTTGTAACTACATCTCTAAGGGCATTACGACAATAGTAAAGTATCTTGTCCAATCTAATCTCATTCAATCACCCTTTGCTATACTTCAAGCAGACCTCCTACAACTGGCCGTAAGTTGTAATACGTACATTGTAACTACTGGGTAAACAGAGCCAAAGAGAGTTACCTGTAGCCACTTGTGAAGGGTTGTTTGGTAGGATAAGTCACATCATGAAGAAACTCATAAGGTGCTTCTATTGTCACTTCTACATGAGTCATGCGACTACAAAAAGTTGACAACATAACTTGTTATGAGCATATAAAAGGATTTCTTAATTCACTACAGAAAGAAATTATTTGATGGTTGCTGTCATTTGACTTTTTTAAAGTTTGGTAGATTTTGCAGACAACACACGTAATCCTCTAAAACATGGAATACACTATTTATGTATAATTGTTCACTTAAAATGTAGCATTCATATTGTGTTACATTTTGCATCCTCTCAACACCTTAGAAGGATACATCCCCCTGATACTTACAATTTAAATACTCAGAGCTAGCATGATGTCTTTCCAAACTAATCAAAATGAGCACTTCACATGTTCAGACTGTATGTCGCCCAAATTATGAGGATGATGAAATAGCAAAGTGCAACAAATGTAAAGTGAAAATTACAGACTGTAAAGTTAGGCGTAACTTCATGTACCACACTTACTTGGTAGCAGAAAGTGGCCAGGCCTACAAAAGAAACCAACGCATACAAAAAAATTAGACACTTACAGTTTAAATGCAATTATGTCACTTACGTTATCTAGTATCTACACTGCACAGTGTCAATAAAAGTTTTGCACAGCAGCCATGTTGCATGGCAGGAACAGTGAAAATGTTTTGAATCAGAAAAAAACATTTTTCCCCATAGGAAAAAGAATCTATTGTTCCTGCCATGCAACATGGTGGCCGTGCAAAACATTAGTATTTTATGAGATTTTTTGTAAGAAATACAAGTAGTAGTAGTACTTTCTGGTAGTGTCCAATCAAATAGGCTGACACCAACTCGAGTTCCTGTATTACAAAGACTACCTATTACACATTACTTTTATTTGATTCTCAACTGTACTAAAACACACTCCACGTTCACTTACAGAAAGAGCTAAGTACTCTATCTGCACATTGTGTTTCCAAGGAATTGTCAACCTCACTTGCAGCTGCTTTCCACCTTTGGAGGAAAAAAAATGCAAATTATGCAAACCATACCAATTAGTAAAACATGTCATGTTACATGCACATAGACAAAAGAGGGGCACCAGGGGCAGATCCAGAAGATTTAGATAGGGGAGGATGAAGAAATTGTGGCAGAACATAAGCAATCCCCCCTCCTTCCCAAGCTGAATGAAAAATTGTGCTCTAAAGACAGTTGGTCAATTTTTTTTTTTAAACACAAGAAAAAAGGGGGGCTGCAGCCCCCTTGTCCCCCTCTGACTAAATACACCCCTGGAAATAGAAGAGAAGGAAAGAAAAGGAAAATGTGGGGAAACACAGAGAGTGCACAGAAACACAAAATACTCAGGGAAAATGAAATCTGGGAGAGAGCCATTGGTTGCTAATGTTAAGCTAACAGACAAGACTAGAGGAGGTAAGTGAGAGGCCAGTTCTCAACAAGTGGTGCACTACAGCATGATTGAATTGGAAGATAAAGTTATGAGTCTAAACCAAACACCTTTACACTGTAAGTACCTTTTGCTATGGAGACATCTTGGATTGAGTAACCCTCTCTGAGACGCACACTGAGAACACTGCAAAGTCAATCAAAGAATCACAGAATTAGCTGTTTTTCGGTTTAACTTAATTAATTAACTTATGCATACTTGATTGCTGTATTGACCTGCGGCAAATTGTTTAATAGCCACATAAATTATATTTACAAAATATTTTCTTGTGTCAGAAATAATTATTTGCAACTTTACCCTGTTATGCTGGTATGTAGTTTTGTCTCTAAATGTCTCTTGCGCATCGATGGTTGCATTGCATTCTGTTCCCACTCACTTAGCGCATAGGATATTGACCTGTAATTAAAAATAACATAAACATAAAATTCCTGTACCCATTTAAACACCTGGGTGGAGAGAGGCACTATTAGAGTTTTATGCGTCTTGCCCAAGAATGCAACACAAAGATCTCAGCCCAGGCTTGAACCCAAGCCACTCAATCTGGAATCCAGAGTGTGAGCTAACCACTAGGTCACCATGTCTCCCACGCTTAAATTATTATGCACATTAACATATAAAACACAATACACTGTAGAAGCACTGTAATTGACATTTCTACAATCTATGTTATTGTAAGTTACCTTTTGCCTTTCATTGCCCAAGCCAAATCCTCCTCACTCAACTCTAGACAATCCCCTTTGGTAAAAATATGACAAAAATAGATATTGGAAACTAAAAAAAAGTAAATTTTCATGTTTATGAGTTATTGACTGCTTTATCATAAAGGCTCTACATACCTATCCAAGAGTCAATCTTGCTAAGATCAAAGTCTCGCTGAAAGTTCCAACACAGCAATGACTTATGATAAAGGTTCATGGTATAATCATCTGTGAAACAAAAAAATCAGAGAATGTGGAGTGAACATCAGGCCATTGAAATCTTTTGAAAGCAAAACAGGAGGCTTTTAAGTGGAACAAAAGTTCATTTTTACAGTGTACTGTCTCCGAGATAGACAGACACCTGTGACTAGCACTGACCAGCATTCTGCCTTACAGAGTTGTTAACCTTGTAAGAATTACAGAGAGGCTAATACTGGTAACATTTTGCCTGGACCAGCCAGCTAACCATGTCTACAATAGAGAAGTGTCTACCGTACACTTACTGTATGTAGTGTGCTGTTACTGTGTTTTAAGAGAATTGGCTGCTACTTTTTAAGGCAGTTTTATCCATTTTTATTAGTTTTATTCTATTTATATCCAACTGAAAGGTATAAGTACATATTGTGTAGTTCCAGAAAATATCCATACCTCCCCCACAGAAGGAATTTTTTCCAAGACACCTCNAACAATACTCACAGGATTGTTAGAGTTGGGTGGAAGGTAGAACAAAGGCACTCCATTTTTGGCACTCTCTGGTATGGTGTAGTAACTGGGATTGGAGGAGAAGGACTGGAGATGAACAAGCATTTCATCCGTGCTCTGAAGACTGAGAACAATAATAATTACCTTTATCAACCAAATTAATTGCTCAAACAAACAGGTCATAAAACTTATGAAGCCATTAAAGTATGCCGCTGCAAAATAGAAGTTAGTCTATCAAGGTACCTTCTGATGGTTTGCCGAAATCGTTTGACAACAAGTGTTCTGCAAAGGAAGATGTAAAATGCTTAACTTTGATTGCCTTTCAACTTGAACTGATATATTTGGTATGATTCAGATAACCCTACATTTATTGAGTAATCTGATTCATACACTCATACACTCTCCCCTCCTTCCTCCACCCAGCACCTATTCAAGTTTAACCAACCACTCTATCACCCATTTATACGAGTTTGTAACTACATCTCTAAGGGCATTACGACAATAGTAAAGTATCTTGTCCAATCTAATCTCATTCAATCACCCTTTGCTATACTTCAAGCAGACCTCCTACAACTGGCCGTAAGTTGTAATACGTTGTAATAAGTTGTAACTACTGGGTAAACAGAGCCAAAGAGAGTTACCTGTAGCCACTTGTGAAGGGTTGTTTGGTAGGATAAGTCACATCATGAAGAAACTCATAAGGTGCTTCTATTGTCACTTCTACATGAGTCATGCGACTACAAAAAGTTGACAACATAACTTGTTATGAGCATATAAAAGGATTTCTTAATTCACTACAGAAAGAAATTATTTGATGGTTGCTGTCATTTGACTTTTTTAAAGTTTGGTAGATTTTGCAGACAACACACGTAATCCTCTAAAACATGGAATACACTATTTATGTATAATTGTTCACTTAAAATGTAGCATTCATATTGTGTTACATTTTGCATCCTCTCAACACCTTAGAAGGATACATCCCCCTGATACTTACAATTTAAATACTCAGAGCTAGCATGATGTCTTTCCAAACTAATCAAAATGAGCACTTCACATGTTCAGACTGTATGTCGCCCAAATTATGAGGATGATGAAATAGCAAAGTGCAACAAATGTAAAGTGAAAATTACAGACTGTAAAGTTAGGCGTAACTTCATGTACCACACTTACTTGGTAGCAGAAAGTGGCCAGGCCTACAAAAGAAACCAACGCATACAAAAAAATTAGACACTTACAGTTTAAATGCAATTATGTCACTTACGTTATCTAGTATCTACACTGCACAGTGTCAATAAAAGTTTTGCACAGCAGCCATGTTGCATGGCAGGAACAGTGAAAATGTTTTGAATCAGAAAAAAACATTTTTCCCCATAGGAAAAAGAATCTATTGTTCCTGCCATGCAACATGGTGGCCGTGCAAAACATTAGTATTTTATGAGATTTTTTGTAAGAAATACAAGTAGTAGTAGTACTTTCTGGTAGTGTCCAATCAAATAGGCTGACACCAACTCGAGTTCCTGTATTACAAAGACTACCTATTACACATTACTTTTATTTGATTCTCAACTGTACTAAAACACACTCCACGTTCACTTACAGAAAGAGCTAAGTACTCTATCTGCACATTGTGTTTCCAAGGAATTGTCAACCTCACTTGCAGCTGCTTTCCACCTTTGGAGGAAAAAAAATGCAAATTATGCAAACCATACCAATTAGTAAAACATGTCATGTTACATGCACATAGACAAAAGAGGGGCACCAGGGGCAGATCCAGAAGATTTAGATAGGGGAGGATGAAGAAATTGTGGCAGAACATAAGCAATCCCCCCTCCTTCCCAAGCTGAATGAAAAATTGTGCTCTAAAGACAGTTGGTCAATTTTTTTTTTTAAACACAAGAAAAAAGGGGGGCTGCAGCCCCCTTGTCCCCCTCTGACTAAATACACCCCTGGAAATAGAAGAGAAGGAAAGAAAAGGAAAATGTGGGGAAACACAGAGAGTGCACAGAAACACAAAATACTCAGGGAAAATGAAATCTGGGAGAGAGCCATTGGTTGCTAATGTTAAGCTAACAGACAAGACTAGAGGAGGTAAGTGAGAGGCCAGTTCTCAACAAGTGGTGCACTACAGCATGATTGAATTGGAAGATAAAGTTATGAGTCTAAACCAAACACCTTTACACTGTAAGTACCTTTTGCTATGGAGACATCTTGGATTGAGTAACCCTCTCTGAGACGCACACTGAGAACACTGCAAAGTCAATCAAAGAATCACAGAATTAGCTGTTTTTCGGTTTAACTTAATTAATTAACTTATGCATACTTGATTGCTGTATTGACCTGCGGCAAATTGTTTAATAGCCACATAAATTATATTTACAAAATATTTTCTTGTGTCAGAAATAATTATTTGCAACTTTACCCTGTTATGCTGGTATGTAGTTTTGTCTCTAAATGTCTCTTGCGCATCGATGGTTGCATTGCATTCTGTTCCCACTCACTTAGCGCATAGGATATTGACCTGTAATTAAAAATAACATAAACATAAAATTCCTGTACCCATTTAAACACCTGGGTGGAGAGAGGCACTATTAGAGTTTTATGCGTCTTGCCCAAGAATGCAACACAAAGATCTCAGCCCAGGCTTGAACCCAAGCCACTCAATCTGGAATCCAGAGTGTGAGCTAACCACTAGGTCACCATGTCTCCCACGCTTAAATTATTATGCACATTAACATATAAAACACAATACACTGTAGAAGCACTGTAATTGACATTTCTACAATCTATGTTATTGTAAGTTACCTTTTGCCTTTCATTGCCCAAGCCAAATCCTCCTCACTCAACTCTAGACAATCCCCTTTGGTAAAAATATGACAAAAATAGATATTGGAAACTAAAAAAAAGTAAATTTTCATGTTTATGAGTTATTGACTGCTTTATCATAAAGGCTCTACATACCTATCCAAGAGTCAATCTTGCTAAGATCAAAGTCTCGCTGAAAGTTCCAACACAGCAATGACTTATGATAAAGGTTCATGGTATAATCATCTGTGAAACAAAAAAATCAGAGAATGTGGAGTGAACATCAGGCCATTGAAATCTTTTGAAAGCAAAACAGGAGGCTTTTAAGTGGAACAAAAGTTCATTTTTACAGTGTACTGCCTCCGAGATAGACAGACACCTGTGACTAGCACTGACCAGCATTCTGCCTTACAGAGTTGTTAACCTTGTAAGAATTACAGAGAGGCTAATACTGGTAACATTTTGCCTGGACCAGCCAGCTAACCATGTCTACAATAGAGAAGTGTCTACCGTACACTTACTGTATGTAGTGTGCTGTTACTGTGTTTTAAGAGAATTGGCTGCTACTTTTTAAGGCAGTTTTATCCATTTTTATTAGTTTTATTCTATTTATATCCAACTGAAAGGTATAAGTACATATTGTGTAGTTCCAGAAAATATCCATACCTCCCCCACAGAAGGAATTTTTTCCAAGACACCCCNTGGAAATTCCAATTAAACTTGATACATCTCTTTAAATTTTTTGGTCCTAGAGAACCCCCACCCCCAGAAAATTCCAATCCCTTCTGAGGGGGGAGTATGGATATTTTCTGGTACTGCACATTGTTACAATATGTTACAAAATTAATTAAGTTCATTTTCAGTTAGTTAGGAGTGTTGTAAAAGGTAGAATATATTAATCATTTTATTCAGTAGGTCCAAATTACGTGTAGCTATAATGGTTGCCTCTATTTTGTCTACAATAACAAATAATAAACATTTGTATTGTCTGTATGCTACCATTTAACAGTTTTTCTTAATGTTTTTACTAACAGTTCTTTTTTAAGTAAACATACATGTATCAACTTGACATACTCTTCAAAATAATTTTCTGCGTCAATTTAATTTTTGAGCGCAAATTGCAGGTGCATGTATGGTAGTATAATACAAATTATCAGTGTATACCTCCTCCATCTACTCTTCTGCCTTCCCTTGAAACCTAAAATCATAATTAACTGTATATTATTACTAGTACTAAGTAGTGAGATCTACATGTACACACCATACACAAATCTATGTGGATTCCACGGACTAATTAATTAAATGTTGACTTTGAACTCTATTATACTCTAGGAGATTCATATTCAAGTACAGTTATGTGTGAAAATTTATTTGAAAATTAATAAATGACTGGTCTTGGTACACATCTGATGGACACCTCACATAATTTTTAGAACCTACCCTAAAACTAATACTGACAATGTTATTGGTTTTTCTGGCAACTTAAAAAAAGAAGATATATTATAGCACCCCAAGGTGGCTTCAATCACTTCAATTGATCAGAATGTGTACTTTGAACGTACATATTTTTATTTAACTGCTATATGTATTCACAACTGTCAGTCTGTACTTACCGGGGGAGCCTTAGCAAGGTAGGCTCCTGAGCTGGCCATGGCAATAAACTGCATCATATCACAGTGTGGAACATATCCAAGACTTGCAAGATTGAGAGCAAACAAGAGGATTTTAGTGTTACAATAGTCATGACAATAGACAAAAGTTTAATAATATTAAACTTTTATAGGGTGATTGGAAAAGACCGCATCATGACCGAATGTAAAAGTACCATGATTATAGTAGCAGACAGGACAATAGAACCTTGTAGTACCTAGGCAGCCAGGATGGATTTGTCCTGGCAGGGACTCCCTCACCATACCTTTTACGGATTAACAAAGCGGTTTGGCACCTTCTAGGGTGTTCAGCCTCAAAAAGGTCAGAGTGGAAGCTTTTGCAGTACCTTGGATGGTGAGCAAAACAATATGGCAAGAGATACATGTAATGTGTTGTTTTAGAGTTGGTACCTCTTAGGGGTGAAAACAATTTCAAGCCACACCCACAAAACAGGATCTTGGTACCTTTTATGGCTTCTTTTCAAAATTTCCAACAAGCACCCTCATCCCTTTTATGTGGGAGTCCTCTCCCATGGGAGATTTGTTATCAGTCAAGATTAGTGAACTCCAGTGTGAAGTAAAAGGCAAATAAATTAAAGTGAGTTTACCTGCAGTGGGCATGAAAACCACTGCCAACTTTAATGAAAGAGCAGCACACTGTGCTGGCTCTGAGCTGTGCCAAAAGAGAATCTACTGCCGAGGCATCAGGAAGAGCAAACACTCCATCAGTTATCACAACAGCTCCTGACAATTTGTACAAAAAAATTTGATGAGTAATGCTTAATACATATTGTTATTTGTACACAACAATGCACTACGAGACAAAGTACATGATTGTAGCAATGAAATACAGTTCTACTCACTGCTCCACCTAATTTTTTTTATTTTGACTTTGGAATATGCAGTTATTATCAATGGCTATTCAGAAAGAACACTCATTACATAAAACATAACAATCAAAAGAAATTTTCAAAATGTGCATACCAGCACTAGCATTGCTTGGAAGAAGCTGCAATGCTAAGAGGCAGTTCCTTAAAATTGAAATGGGTCCAGCCTCTGGGGACATAAGAGTCACTGAGTCTCTGGTTATTCCTCCCTGATCACTTTCTGTCCTGTTGATCTTAATTTGCGAGAGACATGTATCTTTGAGAATCTAATAGTTGGATCATGAATTAATGTAACAGTATGAAATAGATAACATTGAAATAACATTTTAAGAAGTAACAATTCTTACTTCCCAAACCCCAAATGGGATTGTTCCCTTGCATGTACATGGAACTGTGTGCCAAAGGAAATCCTGAGGGGGAGGGGCGTATGACACAGTAGTCTCAAACCTCTCCCCTACCACCATTCCTTTTTCTTCTTCCCCTTCCCCCCCTTACTCCTTCCTCCTTCCCCATCCCCCTTCTCACTTCTCCCTCCCTCCTTTCCACTTCCCTCGTCCCCCTTCCTTCCCTGATCCCTTCCCCTCTTTCCCCTTACATGAAAAGCCCCATCTTCACATCAATCTTCCTCTTCCTCTTCTTCCCTGCATTTGAAGTATTAAGCTGGTTCTGCCATAATTTGCATCTTATGGTAAATTATGCTTCCAGAGCAGTAAATTATTAATCAACTATAGGAATTGATATGATTAAATATTATCAATAATTACCTTATCACTGGTACCACAGTACAGTGTAGAGGTGGTTTTAGCCAGGAAGTCCTCCAACTCCATTAACTGATTATGCACTAACTCCAGCACAGTGTTCACATTTTGTTCTGTCACAAGGCAACCCTGGATAAGAACCTTGAGGTAAAAACAACAGAATTAATTAACAAATGTTGAATAAAAAGAGGTTGACAAGACTTCCATAACTGTTATTGATTAGAAAAAACTCATAACTGAATGGAAATTGGACCTTGGGTGTTCAATGCAAAGAGTGATTCTGCTCATAATTATTTTCCCTTTTACAAAGCTACACACACATGTACTGTACTTATCTATGTATGACTACAGCACACAAACTGTATTGTGTATGTCTTACATTATCTCAGATGTACAACCTGCATGTACACTGAGTTAAAGTGCCTTCAGATTTTCTGATTAACTGCATTGTATTCTGCTATGGTAACAAACACTGTCTATGACTGGTGAAGAGTAAAATTCTTACTATGATGAAGACGTAAACTTACTTGAGGAGCTTTAGGATTTAAGATGGAGGTATAGGCCAACACAGTGATGTACAGCTCAGGAGACAGCATAATGTTGTTTCCAGGTACAGAGAACTGTTAAGAGACAAAAACAATTACAGCAATCTTTAATGTAAGCATCACCCTATATTCTCAGTCAACTCTTGTTACGTGTGCATACACTCAGGAATGTCATCTAGTGTCTTTAATTAGAGTGCACTGAGTCCACAATAGTGGAGTGTAATGAAAATGACCCAATTCTTGTAGAAGTGCCCACAACTCTGTAATAGCGGGAGTCTGTATCAGTCCGTATTTCTTCTTTGTAGCTTTGGCCCGGGATGCAACTTCTCTCTGTGATAGTGTTTGTCTGTAAACAGCGAAGTGCCACAATTCAAGAGTTGACAGACTATACCATAGTTAATAATTGCAATTAATGTATTCCAGTGACTTACAGGAGCAATAAGGCCGATAAGACAGTTCTTAAATTTCTCAAAGGCTTCATCAGTAATCACGGTTCCTGACTGAATATCCTAAAACAAGGGAAAAACAACAGAAACCACCAATTTCATTTCCTTGTTTATTCAAATTACTACTGACATTGTATAATATTACATGCACATACAATGACCACTTTGTACAATTTTTCAATAGTTTCTCATTAAATTCACGTTTTAGAAGACATACAGAAAGTTAAATTTTTATCTCTTGCGCATAAATGTTTTTCATTGTTAAGAATCCTGATAAGAGAATAAAATCAAAGAACAACTGGAGTTTACAAAAAATAATCAATCACTAAATTTACCCTTAATTACTATTATTTTTCTAGTAAATAAATTATTTTTTGAAAATAGTAAGCCATAATTTATTTAATATATTAACTCATTACTACATTAATAACATTAACTCTTACCACTGTGGCAAGTGATGGACTGATGTCAAGGCAAAATACAAATCGGTATTGTCTGCCGATAAATGTAATATGAGTAGAAGGAACAAGTCTGTATGGCCCAGTATTGTCAAGGTTGTTTGAAATGACTGACAAAACTTCCAGTTCTTCGTTTGAATCAATCTAGAAAACAGCAAACAAATAAATGCTTAAATGCAAAATTAATATTTTCATAATTATCAGAAAGCAATCTTAAACTAAAATGAAGGAGTGTTAAGAAAAAAAAACCTAATTGACTTCCAATAAAAGGTAATTTAGAGGGAGAATCTAGCAATTTAATTGCTAGATTCTCCCTCTAAATTACCTTGTATTTCCTTGTGAAATATAAGGAGAGTTTGAAACTACATCAACAGTCACCTACTAAGGCCTTATCCTGCACACCTCTTCAAATGAAGATCTGAATTGTAATTTATCAATAATTGCATATATTATGTACATGTATCCATTTGCTTTAATTCATGCAATCATAATAATTTAGTATACTGCAAATTTTCCTTCAATTTTATATGATTGAAAACAGAACAATATATTCAATACTAATGTACTGAAGCAATAAACTTCTAATGTTCCAGTAAAGCCCAATATTTTACATGTACATGTATGATTTCCACACCAAGGAGTCCTGAGGAAAGTATAAGCATCTTGTGTTTTGAAATTTATAAAAACTACTCAAACTTGAGAGGTAACTCACCAACTCTTTATGTGGTTTGGGACGAGGGAGAGTGGAATTGAACTGCTGAAAGAACCACTGAGCTCGGATACTCCTGGAAATTCTGTACTCCTTTCCCATAAGAAGAAACACATGGAGTGCATCTTCCTGTCAAAGTCAAATATTATTGGCAAGTAAATATAATGCACTCAAATCTGTGACTTGCATACAAGGTCAGAGCCAGCCTGCTAACAGGCTCCCAGCTCAGTGAGGTTGAAAAATTAGAATTCCGTGAGCGAAGCGAGTGGATTTGGTACCAGATCCTGGTATCATGGAACAGCAGCATCAATAGAATATCCACAGGCTCCCTTGTCCTGCCCGCTTGCCAAAGACTTTTTTTTTCGCCCTCACTGGGAACCTTCACAGGCTAGGTCAGGGTCCTAAATTTTTGTGCATTTGGCACTATACTACCAAATATTGTCACCTTGGTTGAGAAATTTGGAACTTGTATTTTCAAAGCTAGTAAAAGATCAAGAATGTGCATTTAAACTACTGTACATCACATATGGTACAATTTAAGATGTTTTTGTGCAACATCATGAGTAGTTTGTGGGACGTTCCCGTCACTATGAAGCCTACCAATACTTTTTAAATTCTCAGCAAGCCATCAGTTACAACATTACATTTAAATTGACCCTGTTGCACCTCAACACCCTTGACCCCCTAACCACTTACCCACCTCGGGCTCCCTCACTCTGAGTCCCCTCACCCCTCATCCCCCAACATCCGAGTTTATGAGGTCAGTCCTCCCAAAATGAGGTCTCTCCTCCCCATCAACACTTACCTGTCACTTAAAAACTGCATGCTGTTGAAAAATACGAATTTTTCAATGGCCATCCTCTAAAAAATATTTGCGTAAGCCATCTACCATTCCAAAAGGCTTCCCACTGTACGGGGGTGGGGTGAGGGTTCGATGCGACATGAAATGGCCCGTACAGGTCCTAGTTGTGTACAAGTTCGATTCACGACAAATGCCAACCGTTTAAATGCTAAATGAAGGCTTTGGACAAGAAAAGGAACGTTAAACTGCACGACTCCCACGCTATCATATTAAGTAGTTAATATCAGGCATCTACAGACCATGAAGTAAAAACAGGTCTCGTGCGCGAACAATTTAAGTGAAGATCACATGTTACCTCTTCTGTCGCGTCGTCTCCAACAATCATTATATTTTCTAGATGAGCGTTGCGATTTTCACATTGTTGGGATAACTCAACTTTCGAGCGGTCTATGCAGCGGTTTTAACTCAAAATTAAAGAAAAACCCCAAAAGGGTTCTTGTTTGAACCAGTTTCATCCAAACTTGTCTCCTTCCGCCATGTTTACGAAATTTTTGGCGGAAAACCGCTGATCAAGACTACATGTCAACGCGAGCGCAAAGAGTTCTGGGTAGAGAAAGAAGGAAAGAAAAATGTGAAAACAACATATTTTTTTAATTTTTATTTTTTATGAGAAACAATAAATTATTGTAAGTCAAAAGGGGGTCATAAATTGGTAAATTTATTCTATAAATCATTTTGAATAATAAACTACTTGAACCAGGCTAAAATCAGTAAGATTAAAGAAAATGAACTGTGGTTCTTAACAAAATTGAAAACCCAACGAAGTGTGAAGTGTTACAAACCTCTAAGAAAACTTTGCCATTTGTTGATCGGTAAGTTCCGATCCCAAATTTTGAACACTTTTTCACAGTCATGGTTTAGTTGTTGCAAAATTAGTTTTTAAGGTAAATTTGTTGATCAAGATTTATAATTATGATAATTTGTACATTCATGGTATTGTGTTTAAAGGAACGGCACTTTTTTGATGAGGGGAAGACACCTGACTCTTACAGTGCCTTTCTCCACTCAGGTGTATAAATATAAGAGAGAGTAGGAAAGGAAGTGCTCTACTTGGGAGGAAAAAGGAAATAAAAAATTAATGCACTCTAGACTAGGAGTAGCAATCATTTTTCATCAAGATTGTTTAGTGAGATGCAAAAAAATGCCAGTTAAGTTTTCTTTTCTCACACAGCAATCTTTAATGGAAAGCTATTGTCTGCTCAAAGTCCAACCTATCACAGGAAGTTGCCACAAATTGAAATAGAGATTCAAACTTTATGTAGAAAATTTATTTTGTATGACATTAACAAACTTTTCCATTACAGCTTCCTTAAATTTTTTGTACCAAGTCAATAATTTCAGCCGTCTTTCAACTACTTCTTGATGGGTTAAGTGTATCTCATTCTCTATAATCCTAGGAAGCTCTTTCCAATCTTTTACATAGATAAATGGTGCATTAAATACTTTTAACAAATTTAAGGGAGATTTTCTGTCTCTTCGTCTACACTCTCCAGGTGTAACAATGTCTTCAATCACAGGTACTGATCCATAAGAGCATGCTTCATATATGCGATAACATTCCGTGTTCATGCCCACAGGATTCAAAGTCAAATCACTGTTAGCAAGAGCGTAGCGAAAATCTTTTGCTGATTCGGCACTTTCTCCAGGTGACCAGTTATCCCTTGTCTTGACAAAACAGACATCATCTAATTTAAACTGTTTAATAACTGTTTGCAGTTCCACACGTGAGGAATTAGGATAAACAGTTCCCAAAAAGTTACATCTGAATTTTCGACGGTTTTGGGCATCAACAGACAGAGGAGGTACATTAGGAAACTTTCTATAGGTGGCAACTCCCAAAGGCCACTGGAAGAAAGTTTTAGAATCGGCATAAGGGATGTCATAAACGATGAAAGCGACTTGAACAAGGCCACCATTCATCTGCATATATGAATACAACCAGCCGTTTTCGCAACGTTCGTTGCCTAAAAGCACCACCGCTACATTACGAAGATGTGGTAGATCTGCAAGAGAATCGAGCCAGGCTTTCGCAAAGTCCACCTTTGTCGGTTCTCGTCCATTGATTACGAGGACAAGATTTCTAGTTTCTTTTGGAACTTTATCTGGGACTACTCCCGGACCCGTTCGAAATTTGAACTTGATGTTCCGAATTTGCTTCTCTCCATAGCTCCACACTCCCCCTAGCCTCTCTTCTACAGGTCCCTCGAGGATATGCTCCCATAGGTATAGCCCGATTGCAGCTTTCCCCCAGATTTCAACTTCGATCAATATCGAGTTTTGACGAGAAGCCTTCGATTCTAAATCAACCAGGTTTGTGGAAGATGGCGAGGTGATCGCAAGCTTTTTTGGATCTCTAGGCTTGCTGTCACTTGTAACAAGCACGTGAAGTGAGAATAGTGTAAAAACCGTGTAAATACAAGCCACAAACACGGCTATAACCTTGCATTTTAGACTCCTGGGCATTTGACGAGCTCGTCCGCCATGTTTACCAAACATTCCATTGCGTGCGCATAAGATCATATCAGCGTGCATATAGTCTTGCTTTGCTCGTGGGCGCAGATATGGCGGACAATACTTGAGAAACGAAAACTTCTTCGGGTTCTTCAACAATGCAGGTATTACCTGAAGAAGTTAACTTTATGCGTTCTCTTTTATTAAGGAATTCATCACTGATTTATTCTTCCTGGTTTTGTCAACGATTTTAAGAAATCCATGTACATTTGCCCAAAGAGCTGTCTTAAAGCTAGACTCCTAAGATTTTACTTTTGTGTTTATTTTGTGTACATGTGGTTCTCTCACTGGAAAAAAGGACGAGAAACTGTTAGAGGTTTCATTGGAGGCAGTGGCTAGCCGGGTTCAGGAGCTAAAGGAATCAATACAGGCCTTCCTAGCCAAACTTGAGCATGAACAGCTGAGTTGGTAAGTCACAAACTGACCATGCAAAAAAAAAAAAGAAAAAAAAAAAAGCAGAAAATTTTCCTGTGTTCGCTATAATGACCTAACGCCTAAGAGGAGTTCCCATATATGTTTATGCATATGTTGATATGCCATCCAAATGAACAAATAATAATAGTGATGGTTTCAGAGGTGCCTAAAGGATGAGGCTCAAAATTATGGACACAAGGGGAATAGGGGCAAAGATGAAAGTGAATACATGAAGTTGGAGGTTTTGGGTGGGGGTGGGGAACTCACATGCAGTGAAGGTGGCTTCATTTTTGTGCTGATAATGGGAGAAAGAGATTTTTGGCCATTTTTTGGTCATTTAATTAATCCAGAAAATTTATTTGGTACGATTGTTGCATAAAGAAACACTGCATTCCAAATAACCTGTTATGATTATTGATACTTACATGTACATTTTATAACAATTTTGTGTTTAAAGCAGTTATTATTTGGTTTACTTAACTTAACTATTCTTTTCTTGTTAAAGGCCTTCAGTTTTGGATAACTATGCTCTTTTATCAGGTAAATGTGTACACAGCTATAGCTTTTTGTTGTTATACAATACAATGTAGTCTAATTTTTAGTACTATAGATTAGTTGGCAAACAATATGGTCATGATACACGGCAGTGCAAGTATTGTAAACTTCCATAAAAAGAGATCTCTTGCAAATCACAGTGACAAGACTTATCCCACTGTAAAAATTATATAGTTTGGGATGTCATTTCAGAATGTGGCTGTTGGCTGTATTAATTGGGTGGCCACATTAACAGGGTAATAACAAGGTGACTGTATTAACAAGATGACCTTAATTAAGGTGGGGTTCTGCCGTACATAATTTATATCTCCTAAAACTATAATTATAATATTATAATCCATTTAGTTGTTATTTATACTGTTCAACAGGTCAGGTGAACACATTGACCAAACTGCTCAAGAATGAAAAAACTCCTTTCTTCAGAAACTTGGTTCTGTTGCCTCTGTTAGTGCAGCAAGAGACAGACCCAGATATCCAGGTAAGACCCCTTATTAATGGTTTTCGGTATTCTCCTTGCCTATCTGTTATCTCTTATATAGATATTGTAAGGAGAATTTTGTTCATGATCACTTCTGGGTTTAGATACATGTACATGTAAGTACCATCCACATGCATCATATTTAGAACTTTTCCTTTTTTGTGATAGAAAGCAACTGATGGACGAATACAAGCATTTAACCATGAAGTTGGTACGTAATATCTCTTCAAATAATAAGTGATTTAACTTTTCATTCTAAGCTGAGCTTGTAACTTAATAAAAAACATCAATTACGTTAATTTGTTCCACCAATACTGATACCTGTAACAGCAGTTTAAATGAAATGAAAGCTCTGCTTTTGATATCATAACTGAAGGAAATTAAATTATTTCTCTTCCCTTGTGTGTAATTGCTATTAAATAATGCAACAAGAGAAGATGAACAATATCATAAATTTCATAAACAAAAACTCAGAAATGACTCACCATCACTATACATGAAGGTTCCTGACTTCATTAAAAAAATAAAATAAGTATCAATGAAAATAAAAAGGACTACTAAATTTGTGTTTATAGTGCAAAAAATAATTACTTTCCTTTTTTCTTTACATCAATCTACAAATTGTAATTACAGGGGAATCCCAATTTCTTGAACTCTCAGATTTTTTAACCTCTTGATAATTCAAACCAAAAGTGGTTTTCCTCCCCTCGGTCGAACATTGTAATTTTAGCCCTGATTTCTCAAACTAACTAATTTTACAAACCAGTTTTTGTTTCCTTTAGAGGTTAAAGAAACCTCAGATTCCACCCTACATGGATGAATTTATTAGGGAAAGATTGGACATACATGTAAATTAAATGGCATGCATGATGAACTGTGTTTAACTCCTATTTTCAGACCTACTTTAACAGCAGCTACTTTCAAACATATTTTGTATTTGTTTTAATGTTTTCTTTTTAGTTCCAGACTACTTACGAACAAAGTATGACCCTGAGATTGAGGAATCTGAACAGAAGCTGGAAACCTTGGCAGCAAGCATTCCTCCAGATCAAGCTCAGGTAAACTGGCAAGAAAAAGCTTGAATCACACTTCCTGAACATTCCCAATGATTACCAATCATCTCCATATTTTTATCTTATTGGCTTGAAACAAAAGAATTCAAAAGGTAAAGGTAAAGTCTGCATCCGAGCTAAGTGGTGAATCAGGCCAGAGCTTATCCCAGTTTCAGTGGCATTAAGTGACTAGGAGTATTTCTACTCCTCCCTGGATGGGATGCTAAACCATCGCAGGGTTACCCCCAGCATTAAATTTGTCGGTACTTATTTATACACCTGGGTAGAGAGAGGCACTGTGAGAGTAAAGTGTCTTGCCCAAGAACACAACACAATGTCCCCGGCCAGGACTCAAACCTGGACCATTCCCTCCAGAGTCAAACGCACTAACCATGAGGCAACTGCACCTCCCACAAAAGAATTACAAAGAATTAAAGTTGTCATATAATGTTTATATACAGAGGCAGAAAGAAATATTGAATGAACTTGCCAACAATCTGATTGCAGTCATTGACAGTGCAAGGGAAGACTGGGAAGGAGAGCAAAGTGCAGGTATTACATTGGTGTTATGTCACACAGTGTTTTGAGAGTCACACAAGCTTGGTCAAAATAGGAGATTGTCTGAATCCACCAAATAGTATGTGATTATTGGCTGAATGTAGTTAGCCTATTCCAGGCTCTTGGTCAGTGAGGACGATTGAAAAAGCGGGCGGGTGACAAGCGGGGTCTGGTTTAGAAAAGGAGAGGGCCTTCTCCTTTTCTCTCTTGGACCCCGTTCGTCACCCATAAATCTTTGCTTCATAGCCATGGGATGTGAGATCAAGCTCAGCAGACTCAGTTTAGACAAAGCATTTCCCTTGTATAAAGTGATATGACTCAACAAACTAGATAAAAAGCTACATTGAGGCATATAGTTGGAAGATTGGATCAGGTTTTATTGTGACTTGATTAGCTACACATTTTCACTTCTTCTTTTTTCCAGCATCAAGAAGTTCAACTACTGTTAATCCTGACATCAACACTCTGGTATCTGCTGTCACATTTGGAAAAGGTAGGAATAGTGTTTTGAGCCGTTTGTCGGTGATAACTGTTGCACAACTACTTATGTGGCATTGCTGCTTAAAGTAACTTAATGAACCACTCACAACTGGAAGTGAATTCATGAAACAAGTGGCTTGTGCGTGATCATGTGTAACATTGGTGGCATGCGCGTGATCACGTGTAACAGGCGTTGGCATGTGCGTGATCACGTGTGACAAGCAAGGGATGCGCGGGAAAAGATTTTACTAGTGGTAAGCGCGGGAAAACTTGTAACCGGCAGAGAGCACGTGAAACTCACGTGACGGTGCATGAACGACGGTTTTTTTGGCACCTGATTGGTCGAAGTGGCAACACCTTTGCTCTGATTGGTTTAATGTACATGTAGCATGTTGCACAGAGGCCCTATCCTCCTAGAGGAGAGTTCGGAACTAAGGAGAATGTTGTACAGAGCGTAGCAAACGGTGAAAGAAATGAAGCTAACCGAAAAAGCGTTTCTTGTAGTTCGTTGATTTCTATTTTCATTCTTTGCAGGACTTAAACCTGCTAAAATCGCAAAAGGACGAGGTTCAAAAGCAGACAAAGGTTTGTGATAAAGTGCGAAAATATAACAAAATATAATGCACTAATAGACCTAATATAGCCATTGTTTTTGTTCTCCGTTTCAGCGCAAACTGGCTGGCCCAGCGACAAATCTTCAAACAAAGCTACTAGCTCCGTTAAAGCCGATACCAAAGCCGCAGCAAATGTCCATCCATATGCCTCGGCTAACAGACCAAACAGTCGGGCAGGACCTTGATGACATTAAAAAATGACGTCATTATGTTGGACGATATATCGCTAAATCCAATACCAACATTAGACCAGCACTGAAGGCCATTAGTGAATACATTAACGCGTGCTCTGTGACTTACGCCGAATGAAAACGTTGGCTGACTTTTCGCAAAAATATTGGTTGTCTTCCTAAAATACAAACTACCTTTTGAGCCTGGTGGCACAGAAAGGTTGTAAAACTCGAACCAATTGATGCTAAAAACCTTGGTTCAAGTTTAGTTATCGTAAGTTAACGACACTTTGCCAAGAGTTGACTAGGAGAAGTCGGCAAAGTTTTAGCCATGTTGTTTACGTTTTTCCGGGTTTCGAGCCGTAGAGGTAAAATAGCAGGAGGTCTTGTTCTTCAACCCAACTCCATTTGTATAGGGTAGTGATAGGATAGCGTTGTTTGCAAATAGCGGGAAATTCTATTTCGTCTGCTTTCGATAGGTCGTTTCATATTTTCGGGAGTCACTTTCGAAAGACTTAACGGTAATTTAAAGATTTAAACTCTAACTAAATTGAAGCACAGTAACACATATAATAAAACCTCTCTGTCCTAACTGCTCATTGTTTCTTGGGAAGCTTAAAGCTACTACAGTGACATCCTTTATCAAGCCGACGTGCATTAAGTTTGGTCCGGAAATTCGCGTCTTATATTTAACAATTAGATTATGAGCTCGAGATTTCTATTTAAACAATAGAGTGCTTCTGTCGAGGAACTATCGGCTGATAGTTGCCCCGAGGAAATTTGATGTTCTTAAAACAAATATTTGCCCGAGAAG